CATTTATAAAAATATGATTATTATTTTTCAGTATATAGTCTTAGGTTTTTATAATTGATTATTTAGCACATTATGAATATTTTTCAGAAGTGGATCGCATATTTCAAATTGGACTTTTAAACCTAAGAATAAAAAAATTGAACGCAAACCAATGAACTGTTGAATTGCATAACTTTTTTTATATACAGATACCTTTTATTCTGGTAACCATGTGTGTCCATGTTGGTGCTGTTGCTGTCAGACACATCAGTCGTTCGCTTTATAACTGCAAAATCGCATTTTTCCTTTACTTTAAATTTACAAAGTGGCTCTGTTTCATAAAAAAATTCAGGCACCTTTTAAAAATCAGCAAATGTAAAAAATGTTATTGTAATATTTTTTTTGTTCAGCTTCTGTATGGTATCTGTATATTTGCCAGGTTTGCTGTCTAGTTTACATTTATCATAGTTTCTAGATAATGGTATGTTTTTCTGTATATTAAAAACTATGCTATGTACAGTACTTATGCTGGTCTTATATACTTTTAATCTAGATTCATATTAAAGTTTTGCTTTGTTATTTCTATATATTTTCATGGCTGTCATAATTTTCCTTTGTGCGTGTTTGTATGAATTCATGACCATTTTTTATTTTCAGATAAAGTTTGGATCAAACATTTTATCTACTGTGACATGATCGTTTGTTAATCTAATCCTTAGACATTTTCATGATGGAAGAAAACATATCACCTGCCTTGTCCTTGATCAAGACGTGTTAATAGTTACAGATAATAATGAGGGGTGGGATGTAGTATTTACATAATTGCTGTTAATTACATATACCTAGAAAGATATCTGTTGGTGCCTTTTATCATTATTGGTTGCATTATTGTTACTTTAAAAGGTAGTGAAATCAGTTTCCCATGCTTTAAATAGAATTGGTTTCCAAACAGGTGTTTCTTTGGCAACAGAAACCAGTCCTTATTTTGTTGGTCTCCACATATGAAAACATGCCCTGTTTACTTGTCAACAGAGTTGCGCATGTGTGTATTTTAAATGGACCCAGTGCAGACCAAATCAATCCTAATGCACTCATATAGTCAGATGTTGATTTTTTTCACCTCATGCTGTGTACAGTCCAGGAATCATGTCTGTTGTCTATTAAGTTCTGTTCAGAAAAGTACCAACTTTCTTTAGACCAGATCACCATGATCATGGTTTTGAAAGGTGCTTCACACACACACACACACACACAAAAAAAGAAACATTTTAAGTTGAAAATTGATCTTAACTTTGAATTAAAAATTTGTCTTAAAAAGTATGTCTTAAATTTAAGTTAAAAGTTAACTTTGAGACCTAAATTAAGACTTAAAGACCCAATATTTTGGACTACTTTGACCAGAAATTAATTTTAGTGAGTTTCTTGTAATATATATTCAATTAAAGCAGACCAAAATTGCTTATTTTGTAGTTGAGCCCATTTTTTAACCTAAGTTCTTTTGTGAAAAAAAAAAATGTCCATGCAGATAAAGCCACACAAAGGCTGCATTCAGAATAAGGGACTAACTAGTTCGAAGGTCAAATATGGCCTACCCACTTGAATACTTCCTCACAGGATATCTATTCAGTATCTATTAGCGTATTTAGTTGGTAAGCTTTGTAGTAGGTTGCAATATTTGATGCTCGGACTAGTTAGTCCCCTAGTCTGAATGGGGCCAAAGTAGGATTTGAAATGCATTCATGCATAGGTTGCTTTTTGTTGAACTTATCTGAGGACAATTAAAACTTTCAAAACATAAAATGACAGATGAATGGTCTTAATCAATATTGCAAAAAATAATCGTATTCACTTTGTCCTGTCCAACCTCGGTAGTCAGCCATCTTGAGACAGTTTGACAATAGCGCAATTTATGGTGTGAGTGTCTCACAATACATGGAAGTCCTGTCAATGGAAATGAATGAAAAAGGAAATGAAAAACCTTCGCTTGTGCATGGGTTTTGAACTTTGGCCTTTTCCAAAATTGCATGTGTCAAGAAAAGAAGATAAAGGTTGGGCAATCCAAGTAAAATGCTGTTTACCCCGGAATATTTAGTTTAATATGAATTTTGATCAAAATCCTCTTTTGTGTACCTTTAATATAGGTGAATTCCTGAACCCTTGATCATTTGCTTGATAATCAGATTTATGGTCTAATTTGGACTTTGTCTGAACATAACTTTGGTTTGATTTGTGTCCTTATTGAAGTCTTTCTCGTGTGAGTGTTGACAAATATAATAAAACACAATGAAAACCGCCTTTGTGGTGGTTTTGACACCACTTTAAATGCTTCTGTCTAAATGGCATCTTGATTGATGTATGGTATCCATGTATGATAAAGTCTATTGGAATTAATGGTAGGCATTTGAGAACTGGGCATGTACCTGTATTTATTTCACCTTCAATGCTTTGGTTGCTCTATGTTGAGGATAAGCTATACAATACTCCCAGATCAGTGAAATTGTCACATCCTTTGATTATCTAAGTACAGCTGGATCTTCATTTGTCTTCATCATGTCATGGTGCTTTATTGGAAATCAGATAAAATCTCTGAGCGTTAAGTTGCTCCCCAAGATTGCTTTTAAAATCTGTACCATTATCAGCCTAATCAGGCCTGAGCAATAGCGTGATGATAGTCAATATATTTCTAGGCCAAATTGTATCAGCCAGGCTTGATGTAGTGCAGCTTGGCAGGACAAATCCTAGGTGATCAGTTCCTTCTGTTAAATATGGTGCAGTAAGCCTGGAAATGAACAATTACCAGTCTTAAGCAAAGCCCTAATGCCTTGATACCCTTACATAATTTTTATTCAAGGCAAGTGATAATTCATTTTGTGTAAAAAAAATGCTTATGATTGATTGATTGCCTTTTCGTCTGATGATTTTTTATTTGATTAAATGTAATAAAATAATGTCAGCTGAACATTGTTAGACAAGGAATGGGATTTTTAATTTAACTATTAAATGAAATCATAAATTGTAAAATTGTGTTCATGGTAATATTTCCCATCATGGACATTTTCCAGGCATGTTAAGTAAAACAATAATGGACAGTATAACATCGTAGTAGTCAGAATGTTTAAATTCTACTACACAGTATACTGGCTTCTTGGTGCTTCTAGATGGTTAAAAATCATGAAAAGTTACAATAATTTTCATACTTTGGATAAGATAAGCCGAAGAAATTTTGCTTTTTTTTTATCTGATGACTACTATGGTAGCCACTTCCACACACAGATCTGTTTTAGAGGAATATAATGCAATATAAAATAAGTCTTATTATTAGATTATCCAATCATAAAAAATGGGACAATGTAGAAGAAATGAAAAAGGTTATACTGAGTATAAATAAATAGATACTTCCTTTTGCCAGGAGGCAGTTGGATATGAGTATTTGAAGAAGTTATAACTAAAACTTAATTTCATTACTTTTTCATTTTAGTTTTATTAATTACAATGAATTTATCACGTGGATCCAAGGAATAAGAAAGCGAGGAGACGGTATTTAAAATACAGATCCTACTATCATATGTTGTCATTTAAGATATCCAGGTTTTTTGTGCCAAATCAAAATTTCCTTGAGAAAAAAGCATTTTTCCTACATCCAAATCTTTGCATGTTCATCCATCCTAGCACTTGGATTTGATGTGGTATTTCATCATCTCTAATCAAATAATTTATTTGTAAATGTCTGGCTTGAGACATGTCTTCTTGTACAATTCAGAAAGAAATATAGACACCAGGTACTTTAATTTGAGAGGTTTTATCATTTTTAAGGCCTGAATTGGGGAAAATGAGTAGTTTTGTGTGATAAATACCATGTACAAAATATGACTTTGGGACATTTTTAATAGGGGAGACTCGAGAGCGTACCTTTAATGCATATAATATACAGGTATATTCAACTATAATCTAATTATTGAAATAATCTATAAATTATGTGTTTGATTGTTTCAGGTATTATATGGTATTAATTAAAGCAGGTCACTTGCATTACATATATCTATATACATGAATAGACCCAGAAACCAGTGAAGTTCTAGTTGTGCCTTGTTTCTGTATAACCATCAAATGCCAGGGTGGCAGTAATATACTATTAATTTAGTGATTCTGCCAAGTGTGTTGCAGCATACTTATTTATAAAATGCTAGAAGATTTAATTTGAGTCTTCAGCCTGTAAACCCATTTAGTAAAATGTGTTAACATTGTTGCACTGCTGTTTTTCTTTATTGGCTGTCAATGTACTTTCTTCCATGTCAATGTTCTATTTAAACAAATACAGTCTCTCAGATAGCTATGAAAGAGAGAATTGGTATGATAAAGGAGGTCCCAGGTTGGTAATTATTGTTTTGCGGCAAGGACAAAGACATAAATGTCATCTAAGGGCCTGCATGTTTATACAAAACTAAGCCATATGTTACCTATTGCACCTATAATAAGTATAATTTTTTTCTATTACAGTAAGAAACATTGATATTTTGGCATAGTTTAGGACACTTATTTGATATTTTCTCTATACTTTGGTGTATATACACAAAGGTTTTCTAGTGAAGACAACCGTAAACAGTGCATTTTATGCTGTACCTGTGATGTATGTGTATCATGCAGTCAAAAGGATATAAACAGTACAGTCACAGCACATACACTATTTATTTAACTGAAAGATTTAATGAATGAGCCCCCTTTGCTTTTGGAAGACAAATGTTCATGTAAGACAGACTTAATAGTAACAATAATAATTATATAATCACATCGTATAATTAGTTATTGTCAGTGGAATTTTATTGTTTAAGCGTAATACATGGTGTAAATGAATCTGTTTTCAACAGATGCAGCTTTATTTGCATTTTTATTATTCAAATAGTATTCCTCATCAGTCAAGAAAATTGTCTTAGCCTGAAGTTTAGGTTATTTAACAAGTCACAGCTAGCACCCAAGTCCTAATAATAATCATCACCATTTCCACCACAGGTAAACCACTTTTTACCTAGAGCTTTATAGTCCTCTGCAGGTAGAGAGGTGACTTAATTTGGCAGTGGATAGATGTCCTGTATGTGCAGTGGAGCACTCATGCGTGGAGACACCAGACTACCTGGCTTCACGTTGTCCACTCTCATTCTTAACTGAACATTCCATCTGTTAACAGGTGTGCAGAGGACAGTGACTGTACCTGCCAGGTAATTAGACAGCCCTTGTGGCTGTATGCATGAACTCAGAAGGTTGGCCTTAAACTGGAGTATATGCAGACACCAGTGTAGGATTGATATCTGACAGCATGGATTAATGTGCCAGCTTTGAAGTGTCATTGCTGTCTGGTTGTTGTTGAAGTATCAGTTCTATCCTATAGCTACTTGTACCTAGGATCTCTAGCTACCTGTACCTGTGTTGTGTAACTTGGATGTCATCATGTAGGCAGGTGGGTACATATACTGTAAGCATGTTTGTGATTCTATCTGTGATACTTGTTAATGATGACCACCTGTTTAATACCATGCTTTGAGTGTCAACTTCTCATGTGTGATTAATTATCTGTACTATTCAGCTTGAACCCTTCAGATGCTCATTCAACAACTGATACGTATACATAATAGAAGATAACTTTGTGTTAAACTGTGATGACCATAAAATTGGTCATGGTGTGGCTTAAACCTTTTGAAAGCTTGTATGTTTTGGATTGTTGATGTGTTTTCTACATGAGGTGTCGTGTATGGTCCAACAAACAGCTGCCATGCATATTATCACCAAGATGCACATTGATATATTGTATAATTTACATAGATTTTATTTATGTAATTTAAATTTACTCATGAATGCAAAGTTTAACTGTTGATCTCTGATACAGGTACATGTTTCCTTTATTAAGTTATATTTAGTTGGATAAAAAGAACTTAGTTTTGAATGAGTTAAGAAAGCACCCATCTCTTGATTGCAGCCCTCTCTACGGCTGTCTCTCTTACAGACTGCATAAATTGGGGAATATAATAGAACTGCTCAGTGAGAGGTGGGGTATATTGAATAAGGGATCTTCAAAAGGAATAAGACATCTGCCTTTTTTTGTCAAAACAAGTTTAAAGACAAATTAACACCAGTTTTTGCAAAATTTCAAAAATGAGTAGAATGCATCATATTATGGTATTTAATATAACTGAGCAATAACTTGGTTAATGTAGACAAAATTGTATTTAAGTAATACATAGAAGCAAGTCCATGTAGCATGCTGAGTGTTATAAAACACTTAGTATGAAGTAGCAGTCTGGACTTACTGACCATCATGGGGTTAAACAGTACTGCCCATTTAAATATACTTATTGTTAATGACACTGATGGCTTTATCAGATAATGTGCATACAATGCACTCCATACATTTTACAATGCACTTTCCAGTTATAGTATTTTTGTGGTATTTTAGAAGTTTTTCTGTAAGATACTAGATTGTTTACTTTGAACTTTTCCTTATTGTAAATTGTATTAAAAAGAAAAAAAATCTGGATGGTTTTTGCTAACAAACAGATTGATTGGACAGCTCAAAGGCTAATAGTTTATAGCTTGATTAGTAAACTGATACTTTAACAGCCAATATTTTGTCTGCTAACAGTCAGACTTCATCATGGAATGGGATTGTGATAGATTGTTATTAATCCTATGCTTGCCTATTTCTTATATTGTGTTGTTAATCATTAACAATTATGAAGTTAAAGACTGTGAAAGTGTTTTAGCCTGTCTGGTAGAATGGTTAAAATATAAAATCTTTTGCAGATATTTATGAACTATGCTTTTTATCAATGACATGTTATTTGCTTGTTTATACCTATCAATCATTAGGAGAGTAATGTTAGATGGTCTATCCCTTTATCTAGCTAAGTGAATTAAACTTCTTTCCTTAAAACTATGTGCCAGCTTTTAAAAATGTGCATCAAATATTGCCTTTTAATTGGCAAAAAAGAGAAAAATTTTCAAATTCTGAAAATGCTGTCAACTTTGTTAGAAAAGTAAATAACTGATAAAGGTGTTCTCTTGCTTTTGTAGGTTGAAGTATGTTTGAATATATTCTTACGAAAATTGACAGGTAAAGTTTTTGGGCCAGTAATTTTGGAGAAAGAGAGGGGAGGGCCAATGCTGCCTTAATTTCTTGTTGAAGTAAGGTATATTTCTAGTTGTTTGTCAGAGAAAACATTTGCTTACACAAAAGACGAGGGCGTACGTGGGTGCTATTATTGGTAAACTGATACAGGTTACACAACACCTTTTTTCTGCCTGTATTGAGTGACTGGTAGTTCACCAAGGCAGCAATTTGCTGGTAAACCATTTTTAAACTGAAAATTTATCTAAGTCAGCAAGTATGCTGATATTAGGCTTGTTTAGACACAGACTTGCTTTTTTGGTAATGTCATGTCGATCTCAGTCTCTGTCTGAACACACTTGGCGCTCAGGCTTACATGTATACTGCACATTGACATGTACAATTTTAATCAAAGAAACAAGTTTTAGTACTTTTCCATTTTGATTGTAAAGTTGGAGAGTCACATAGATAAACCAGTGTCACTGTGCTTTTAAGGAGAATGTCACTTTCTACAGGTAGGCTAAAAGCAATTCAAATGATGATTTCTAATCATTTTGATGTGAGGGTTATCAACCAGAAAATGATATCAGGGATATTTAACGTGCACTGCTGTAATAGTACACATTACAAAAGGCTGCAATGAGACAGAACCAAAACCCTGGAAATTAATGTATATATATTGACTCCTGTAATTTTATGATGTATATACATGTATATGAAAACTGTGATCTCAAAACCTACCTATATATATAGACCTGGGTACTATGAGAATTTCATAGTCACTGTGGTGATTTCATGGCCAAATTTCATGTAAGAAACTTACACATTTAAGTCTAATTACATGTATATCAATGTTCGGAAAAGATCGTTCAGATCAGGGGCGGATTTAGGCCGTCTTCTGGGTCTTCCGGAAGACGGTCAGATTTTTAAGTTTACATTGACAGGTATCTAATATTTTCTGTTGGAAGACGGTCAAAAATTGAGGACGAATTAACAAAGATAATTTGGAAGACTGTCAGAAAATATCTCTGGATCCGCCCCTGCAGATATCTCAGTTATAATTTTGTTACATTAATCTGTAAATGTATTTTATTCATTGGAAAGAACTGTAACCAAGTTGTAAAGGATGTTTTCAGTTTTTAAAGGATTGGACAACTTTATTTCAGCTTCATCTCCTCGTTCAAGTTTAAATTGGCCCCAGTTTAATAATGCATTGTGCATATTCTAAGTTTATTAGTCCAAGTTCTAGTTTATAATTAGTTTGTCTAGTGCCTAAGAAACTCCAAAAGTAAGCTGCATGTGTGACATTCACAATGTTTAAGGTAATCTCTTATTAAATGGATCATAATATTTGTTTTTGAAAATATTTCGGTTAAATTGCTTTTTGAAAAGTAAAGTTTTGATTGTTTGTCTAAAGAGGCCATATAGCTTAGGATACACAATCCCCAATTGTTGCAATGATCTAGTTTGGAGAAATATACTGATAATTTCAATCATCTAAAAGACTGAGAGCATCAGTAATAAAAAGATCAGTTGAATCAATCATTACTTAAGGGACTATATGGGGACTATATTTTGTACTTTACATATTTAGAATAACAAAAAATATACATATATATTTTTGTCACTTATTAGATAATACTTTTATCACTTCACAAATGAATACATATAGTGTGCAGATGATATCAAGGTGTATTAATCAGAATAAGAAATTTTTTCTAAATCAGAGCTAATTAAAAGGTTCCTAATTTTGAATGGTGTGGTAGGGGCTGTATTTAATTTGTAACTGTTGATAAACTAAAAGAGAAGATGGCAAGGAATGGTTCTTGAGCCTCCCCCCTCCCATACCTTGCTCCACACCTGATACAGACTGTGGAATACATGTTACTTATTACATCTGTATCCGCTTGGCTCATCAGGGAATATAGATACCTAGTTCATCATTTCATTTTTCTCACTATAATTGTCTTGCAGGCTTCACAAAAGACATTTTATGTAGATCTTATGGCCCTTAAGCTCTGTTACCGAGCTCTTTATTCATTCATTTGATACATGTAGGTTGTCATGTAATTCTTATATTAAGGAATGTCAAACACCAGCAAAAGAATTTGATGCTGTACTGAAATAGCAAGAAACACATAACTTTCCATTTGTTGCTGTAGACAATCCTTGACACTGCCATTCAGTTTCCAGTTTCCATCTCCCAATTCTTCTGTGTGCCCACGTACGTCATCTAAGCAGGTCATCTGATTATGATTAGCTCACCAAAATTTAGTGATATTTCACTGACTTAAATTGCACTGCCAATTTGTGGGGCAGCAGAGGGATTAGGTAGAAGCTAAGATGATCAGACCAAGTAAATGGAGATTGGTGGCACTGAGTTAGACCCACCTACCTCTACTGGAAACAGGCCCTCATTTAGTTTCTCATGTAGTCTATTAATAAACTATTACTAGGGACTTCATGGGATTTTTAACCAAGGATAGTACGTGTGATTCCTTGTCTCAAGCCCCGTTTTTGTCCCAAAATGTACACCAAAAGTTGAAGGCTTGAATAAGGATTCAAGAGAAATAGCATCCAACCCCCCCCCCCCCCCCCCC